TACTACTACTACTACTACTACTACTACTACTACTACTACTACTACTACAACTACTACAAAGACTACTACTACAACTACTACTACTACTACTACAACAACAACAACTACTACTACTACTACTACTACTACACCTACTACTACTGCTACTACTACTACTTATACTACTACTACTACTACTACTACTACTACTACTACTACTACTACTACTACTACTACTACTACTACTACTACTACTACTAATACTACTACTAGAACTACTACTACTACTACTACTACTACTACTACTACTACTACTACTACTACTAACACAACCACTACTACTACTACTACTACTACTACTACTACTACTACTACTACTACTACTACTACTACTACTACTACTACTACTACTACTACTACTACTACTACTACTACTACTACAACTACTACTACTACTACTACTACTACTACTACTACTACTACTACTCAATTAATTCATGCGGGTATGAATAATATCCATAATATTGATAAACATAGTCGCAGTACTACTACTGAGGAGAAAGAAGGGGAAACAGGTTGGGACGGACGAGGCTCGGGGCGCGCGGCAGCCGCCCCGCCGGGCGCTCCTCCTCGCGCCCAGGGGGCAGGGCCCGCAGAGGAGGGAGTGCGGGGCCCGCGGACTTCGTGGAGGCGTGCAGGCCCTGGCTCGACGTGGTCGCCCAGGCGGACCACCGTCAGAACCGTCACGCCCCCCGTCGCGGCACCGCAGAGTGGAGACCCAGGCCAAGAAAAACGCCCTGCCTGCCTCCAGGGTGCCCTGGGTTTCCTGGGCTTCGGTGGTTTTGCGATGGAAAGCGTGACGTTCCCACACCAAAAATCAATGGACGTCCTGGGGTCTCAGGGCTGGTTTTCTCAGGGCTGGGATTTTTTCTTTTCCCCCCCTCTGGCGCGTGGCGTTCGCTGCCTCGGCCACCCCTCCTCCCCGCTAGGGTAGCGGCAACGATCGTACGTGGCGGGGGGCTGAACCACCCCCCACATGCTGGTGCCCGCGCTGGTGCCCGCGCGCATTCTATGGCTACCGCAGCGCGCTCCTACCCCGACGTGGCCCCCGCCCAAGCGTTACCTTTACCCGCCCCCCTCCTCCCCAGGTAACGACCGCTACCAGGAATAATGCAGCTGCAATGCGACGTGCCCAACCTTCTCTTCTAAACGTGTGGCGGCTATACCAGGACCGCTCAGCGCGAACAAACGTGCGGGAGGACCGTCGTTGACCAGGAGCACCCCCCCGTGCGCACGGAGCCGCCGGGCCTCGGCTGGGTCTGCGTGACCCCCCCCTCCGCCGTGCCTCCCAGGAGCCCACGAACTTGGCGACGATTGCACCCTTTTTGCAGCCTCCAAGGGAGCCGCGAGGTCTCGGCTGGGTCTGCGTGGCCCTCGGCTCCGCGGGGCCGCCCGGGAGCCGACGAACGCGGTGGCGGCTGCGCCCTTCGCAGCCCCCAGGGGTTTGGACGCCTGGAATGGGTACGGCTGGGTCTGCGTGCCTCCCCTCCACTAAGGTTATGATGCTCCAGCCTACTTTTAGCCCTGACCACGAGAAATAATCTCGAGCGCCCCACAAAGTACCGAAACTCAAGGGTTTTCGCGTGGCGGGCCTTGGGAGACACTCGCCCGACACTGTTTCGACACTGCTTCGACACTCTTTTGACACCTTTCCGGGTGCTCGAAATTATCTCTGGGACGTGGTCCTGAAGCAGGATTGGCACAGCATAAGACTAAGGAGCCGATGAACGTGGCGACAGCTGCGCACTTCGCAGCCCCCCAGGGCGCCGCGAGGCTTCTGCGGGGACTGCGTGGCCCCCCCCCCCCCCCGCCGCCCCCCCCCCAGGGGCCCAGGAGCGGGGCCACAGCTTCGCACTCCGCGGCCTCCAGGGGAGCCGCGAGGTCTCGGCCGTGTCTGCGTGCCTCGTCGTCCCCCATCCCACTCCCCGTCTCAATCCTTCGCTCCCCTCCTCCTCCTCCTCGTCCTCCTCCTCCTCCTCCTCCTCCTCCTTCCACCTCCTCCTCCTCCTCCTCCCACCTCCTTCTCCCCCTCCTCCTCCTCCTCCTCCTCCTCCTCCTCCTCCTCCTCCTCTCCTCCTTCCTCCGCCTCCCTCCCGCTCCGCCGTGCCTCCCCGGAGTCGGCGAACGTGGCGACAGCTGCGCACTTCGCAGCCCCCCCTATGGGGGCTGCGAGGTCTCGGCTGAGTCCGTGTGGCCCCCCACCCCGCTGTTCGTCCAAGGAGCCCACGAAAGTGGCGACATTTTCGCACGTCGCAGCCTCCCAGGGAGCCGCGAGGAGGAGGAGGAGGAGGAGGAGGAGGAGGAGGAGGAGGAGGAGGAGGAGGAGGAGGAGGAGGAGGAGGAGGAGGAGGAGGAGGAGGAGGAGGGGAGGTCTGGGTGGTGAAAACGCGTGAGCAGTGCTCTATCCAAGACGACGGCCCAGCACGGGCGGGTCGGGACATATGGCATCTTTCCAGCATCCCCTCCCGTTTGGTGGGGGTGGCTGCTGCGGAGCCCGAGATGGACGGCGCCATCATCCCTACTTGGGAGCGGGTGCAGTCAAGACGCTGAAAGAAGGACCGCTCTGGGTTTGGAAGGGGCTCGCTGTTCCTTGGGTCATTCCATTCCGTGGTTGTTCCTCGAGACCTCCTCGTGCACCCCGGTTCTTCTGGTGCCAAAGAGGGGGGCTTTCGGCCCTTACTTGGCCACCTTTTTTGTTCCAGCAGGCCGACGGCAGGTCGGCAGGCGGGGCCGAGCTTGCCCCGTTGGGGGGTGCGTGGGGACGCCTTTTCTTTGTCCAGACAGGCGTGTCCCCCCTGGCTGGCGGGGTTGGCCAAACCCTCAGCGCCGTGCAGGGCTCCTCCTTGGATCCGCAGGGGTGGACATCACTGTACAGCACACGTAAGACATCATACGGTCACACATCCGTGGTGGCAGCGTTTTGTCACCGCCCTGCACGACAGGATCAGTGCGCCATCCCTCCTTCCTTTCCTCTTTACCCATGCCCCTGCTGAAGTTGCGCACATGAGCAGCGCGGAAGGGTGAACACTCATGCTGGGTGCGTCGCGCCATGCTCAGGCATCCTCTTGGCTCCACCCACGACACCGAACGTGTTCTTGTCCAACATGAGCCTTTGATTGGGAGGAGGGAGGATGGGAAGAGAGTATTTGGATGATGATGCTGATGGTGATGATGATGAAGATGGTGGTGGTGGTGAAGAAGAAGATGATACTGCTGTTGCTGATGCTGATGCTGCTGCTGATGATGCTGCTGCTGATGATGATGGCGATGATGATGACGATGGTGATGGTGATGGTGATGATGATGCTGATGATGATGCTGATGATGATGATGTTGATGCTGATGTTGATGACGATGATGCTGATGATGCTGATGATGATGATGATGATGATGATGATGATGATGATGATGATGATTGTGCTGATGATGATGCTGCTGGTGATGATGATTATGATGCTGCTGCTGATGATGCTGCTGCTGATGATGGTGATGATGATGAGGAGGAGGCACGCAGCCAAAGTCTGAGCAACGTCAAAAAAAGGAGGAGGAGGAGAATGAGGAACGGGACGAGGAGGAAGATGATGCTGATGATGATGCTGATGATGCTGCTGATGATGATGATGATGATGCTGATGCTGATGCTGATGATGATGATGATGATGCTGATGATGATGATGAGGATGCTGATAATGATGATGATGATGATGATGATGATGATGATGATGATGATGATGATGATGATGATGATGATGATGATGATGATGATGCTGATGATGATGATGATGATGATGATGATGATGATGATGATGATGATGATGGTGATGGTGGAGGAGGAGGAGGAGGAGGAGGAGGACGAGGACGAGGAGGAGTCGCCCAGGCGAATTTTGACCTCAACCGCGACACTCTCGTGTCGAGCGTCCAGCCGGAGTCGGTGCTGGGGTGCGCCCAGGAGTGCATCCGGGCGTGCGGCCGGCCAGTGGACTGCGCCCTCCTGTGCTGTTCGGCGCTGCGGGTCACCGGCGAGGGCTTCATCGACCGTGCGGAGCAGGCCCTGGGGGTGCCGGTGCTGACCTCCAAGCCTGGCGGCGCTCACATGGGAGATGGCGCGAGGGGGAGGGGCCTGGAAGAGGCGAGAGAGCTCCTCCTCCCCCTCCTCTTCCTCCTCCTCCGCCTCCTCCTCCTCCTCCCCTCCCCCTCCTCCTCCTCCCCTCCCCCTCCTCCCCTCCCTCCTCCTCCCCCTCCTCCTCCTCCTCCTCCTCCTCCTCCTCCTCCTCCTCCTCCTCCTCCTCCTCCTCCTCCTCCTCCCTGGCGCGAGGGGGAGGGGCCCAGAAGAGGCGCGAGAGCTCCTCGGGAGTCAGGGGGCCTCGTCGGGAGGCCCCGAGGAGGCTTCCGAGGAGGCTGCTCGGGAGCCTCCGGGCGCCTCTGAGAAGGTCCCTGCTTTCCGAGGAGCCGCCCTCCCGCCTTCCCGGGAGTTTACGCCCCTCGCGCCAGCCCCTTCTGCGCGCCGCCAGCAGTCAGTGCCTGATCTGGGAGAGCCTCCACGCCGCCGCCGGCAGCGAGGACACGGCCATACAGAGGTCCGAGGTGGAGGCCGTGCGCGGCTACGGGCGGCTCTTCGCGCTGGGGCGGCCCGGCGAGGAGCCCGGCGGGAGGAGCGGGCAGCGCGGCGCCTGACGGCTGGACTGGCCCGGGAGACAGCTGGCGTCTGCTCTGGGGGGGCAGGGTCGACTAGACGTAAGAGTGATCTTTCGCCGGAGTGACCTTTGGTGCGGGCACAGATGGGCCCCAGATGGCGGAAAACGAAGCAGGAGCAATGGCTTGCACTCCCAGGTTTGGTCCCCACGCGGTCCCCAAAAAAGCCGCGCACCAAAGGTCACTCTTACCCAGGGTCACTCTTGCGTGTAGCCGAAGGGGTCCCACTCCGCGGCGTGGACTTATCCACAACCACCGCCTGGGGGATCGATCTCCGCGGACCTCCACAGGCGGTGGATGTGGATCTATTTGGAGAGCCACCGCCCGCTGGGGCACCAGCACGTCGGTTCCCAGGCGGTGGGTATGGATGAGTCTCCACCACGCGCCCCAGCCGTCGGAGGAAGGAGGGAGGCGACACCACCACCACCACCAGCAGGTATGCTTTTGAGGAGGTGGCGCGAGGGCGGCGGCCTGGGCCTTCTGAGAAGGCGGGGGGGGGAACTGAGGAGGCGGGATGCTTACCAGCAGCCTCGGGGTGCCTTCCAGAAGATGGTCTTGGCAGGCCGCCCCCAGATGCTTTGCTTGGACGTCGGAAGGGAGCGCGTGCTGTGGACGCTTGGAAGAGGGGGGGGGGTCGAATCGCCCCCCCCTCCCCCCCCAATCAATTGTAGGGGGGGGGAGGGTTCGAACCGGGGGTGGGGGGGCCCTCTCTACTCGGGAGCCTTGAGACGGGGTCAATGCAAACGGGGGTCAGCCAGCGCGCCAGATCCTGCAGGATCCTGCGAAGACCCCCTCTGGCTGACCCGGGTTAGCGAGCCGCTCGTGGCCGCGAGGCGGCCGCGCATATTGGCTGACCCGGGTTTGCGAAGATCTGCGTTGCAGCTTTTGTTTCCTGCATTGCAGTTTTTGGTTTCCTGCTGACCCGGGTCTGGGTTGACCCGGGTCAGAAGATCCCCGAAGTCTACCGGGTGGTGGGGTGGCCCACCCCTCTCTGAATGGCAAAAGGGGGGAGGGGTTCGAACCTTGCCCCCCGCTCCCTACAGCCGACGACGGCGAGCGCCCGCGCCGCCGCCGGCGCCATCGGGCAGCGACGGCGACGACGCCGACAACGAAGACGACGACGATGACGACGACGGCGACGGCGACGGCGACGACGATGCCGACGACGACGCCGACGACGACACCTACAGCGGCGACGCGGCAACGCCGACGGCGACGACGACAAACGATCCTTAGTAGTCCTGCTACAAAGGCTGGATCAAGCCCTCGCAAGGTTCTATTAGAGCTGGATCGTGCCGTAGTAGGATCATTCTGAACCTCAGACCTCTTGCTCGCTCGTCACTCGAGCACCATGTATTTCGTATCCCGCCCGACCGACCCGACTCGCCCGACTCGCTCGCTCGCTCGCTTGCTCGCGAGCGCGAGCAAGCGAGCGAGCGAGCAAACGGGCACCGTGCATTTGATGGCCCGCCCGTTCGACTCGACCCTCACTTGCTTCAGCCATCGACCGAGCGAGAGGACCCTTCCTTCTCTCGCTCGCTCGCTCGCTCGAGCGAACGAGCGAGCGAGCGATCACCATGCATTTCATGTCCCGCCTGCCCTACCCGACCCGCCCGGCTCGCCCGGCTCGCTCGCTCGCACAATTGCTCCAGCCAGTGCGCGAGCGAGCAAGCGGGCACCATGCATTTGATGTCCCGCCCGCTCGACCCGACCCTCCCGACATGTTCGCTCGCTTGCTTTCTGGGATTACAGTAGATAGAGATGGATCGTGTCCTCGCATGATTTAGTAAGAACTGGATCCAGTCGTAGTGGGATTATGGTAAGAGTGGTGTCGAACCCGATTAGCATGCAAGTAATATTATATCCAGCTGTCGTAAGATTTGATGAAGGTTGGGTCGGGCCTTAGCAGGATTAAGTCAAACCTGGATTCAGCGACAGTCGGGTGGAATTGCAGCTGGATCCAGATATAGTTCGATTGCACTACAATAGGTCGGGCATTCGTAGGGTTCTCTCAGGGCAATGGGGGGCACCGCCCTGGTTCGACCCCCCCCCCTTGCACAGGGAAAGGGGCGGTTGGACCCCCTGCCTTGGAGGGCCCCCTCTCCAGTTAGGGAAGTCGGCGTCCACGGGGGGGGGGGGGGAGGACCCCCGTCTCACGGCATGATCAATGTCTTTTGGGCTCCCTCCCCCCGGAGGGCCCCCCCCCCGGTTCGAACGGCCCCCCTCTGCACGGGGGGGGGGCCCCCGGTTCGACGCCCCCTCCCTTGGACTTGTAGCCCCCGCCCCGTCGGTTAGGGAAGCTGACGTTCAAGGGGGGGGCCCAAGTTTCAGGGCATGCTCAACGCCCAGGAAGGCAGTTATCGGGGTGGGATGACGGGGCTGGGAGACATGTATCCTTACCCGCAGGCGGCCGAAGGCCTTCATCCTCCCAACCATTCCCACCCCCTTCCTCTCACAAGGATAAGTGTTCTCCTCAAGTGCTTGCCCCCTCGGCTCTCCGGTTCCATATGTTCATGTTTTGCCCCACATGTTCAGTTTTTGAACCATAAAAATAATTCTTCTCCTCACATGTTCGCCCCCTCCTGGCCCTCCGGTTACATGTGTTCGTTTTGTTTCCAAGGCAAGCGCCCACGAACACGTTTTCTCGGGCGTTTGGACCCCTTCCCAGGGATTGGCCCCTTATCCTGAGCAGCTTGCTGAGTTGACGGTCCTGGGGTCTGGTAAGCGCTCTTGGAAGCCGAAGCTTGCCATAGAACCTTTCGTCGTGGTTTTGCTCGCGACGAGATGACCCGTCTACGCGTAAGAGTGACTGTTCCCCAGAGTGTCTTTTGGCGCGGGCCCACAGGGCTCCCCCTAGCACTGGCCTGCGCGCGTGGATCTAGCCTCATGATGCTCCGACCGACTTTAGCCTTGACCGCACGAGAGAATTTCGAGCACCAGGGGAGTACCAACATTGGAGGGCTTTCTTGTGTCGGGCCCTTCGCTAGCGTGTCGGGCAGACGTCGTTTCGATTTTTTTTTTCGGGTGCTCGGAATCATTTCTGGGATGCGGCCCTTAAGCAGGATGGGAACACCATAAATTCTCCCAAACCCGCGCATCAAACGGTCACCCTTTGCCCGGGGCCACCTCTTGCGTGTGACCGACTGGTGCTGAGGGAGGGTCGAGAGGAGGCCCCTTTGCGCTCCCGTCCCCCTCCGGGGTCGTCCAAGAGAGCGGTGATGACTGGGGGGGGGGATATCATGGCCAGGGCCTCGACTTCTCCCCTGATTTCGTGGCCCTTCTTTTCTGAGACGTTCCCTGGCCCCCCCCCTTGGCCGCGCACGTGCCTCGGGCCATGATTTGCGGACCACCCTCTTGGACGCCCCCCTCTTGGAGACCCCCCCCTTCTTCAAGCCTCCACTATACATATCACAGAGAGTTGCTTGATTATTGTAACCGCTCGATTTTTTTTGTTGGGGGGGCGATGTTTGCCTTCGTGTGCAGTCATCGAAGGGAGGGGACGCTTACAGTCAACCCGCAGAGTAAGGATAGGCATCCCTCCCAAGGGTACCCTTGCATCCTTGCTTCCTGGGTCCGTCCTTGGACACTTTCGTTGGCCGCGCCTCGCTCGAAACGCTTCGAGATGGGCATCCAAGGGCCTTGCATCCTTATCGCGCATCCTTACTCTGCGGGTTGACTGTACGTAGTTACAGTGTACATTGTCGAGCTAGCACCCTGCCCCCCCCGTGCGCGCCGCCACTTTGATCCGGGAGAGCTCCCGCGCCGCCGCGGGCGACAAGGGCGCAGTTCACCGTTCACCGCCCACCAAACCACCCCAACCCAACCCGACGGTCCCGATCTGCCCTCCATTTCCAGTGGGGGGGGGGGTTCGGGGAACATTGGGAACACACGTCTGAAGCCCGCACCACCCCGCAGCCCGCAAGTCGGGTCTTCGGGCTGGGCTGGGGTGCTCTGGAAGGCAGCCAGCTGCAGCGCACATCAGTCAGGCACGCGCGCCGCCGCCTCGCTGCGGGCGCTCCCCCGCGCCGCCGCGGGCGGCGAGGGCGCAGTGGCCGCAGAGGTGCCGGCGGGGGCCGCGCGCGGTGCGGCGCCCGACGGTTGGGCCCGTGGCCTGTGTGCGGCGCTCCCGCATCCTCCTCCCTCCTGCCCCTCCTCCCTCCTCCTCCTCCTCCTCCTCCTCCTCCTCCTCCTCCTCCTCCTTCGCGTTACCTCGTTCCTTTCTCTCCTCGGACCCCCTCGTGCGAATTGGCCTAGGGACGTCAGAGCAACACGCAAACCCAGAGCACTCTATTTCAGAAGCTGTTCGCAGGACAGCCCTTTCATTTCACTTTTACAACAAACTGCGTATCATTACGCACGCCGCGCCCCGCGCCGCGCTTCTTTACACTACAGGCACCGAGTGCTTAGCTGCAGCACGGCACGCGATGCGGCCATAGACGAGACAAGCGGACACGTGGTCACTTGCCCTCTTCCCGCGTCTTGCCCGATTGCCCTCGTCTCGTCCTTTCCTGGTACGGTCGCTCCTCCTCCTCCTCCCTCCTCCCTCCTCCTCCTCCTCCTCCTCCTCCTCTCCTCCTCCCCTCATCCTCCCCCCTCCACTTCTCCCTCCTCTTCTCCTCCTCGTCCTCCTTCTTCCCCCCCTTGCTCCCCCTCGCCCTCCCCCTCGCCCCCCCCCTCCCCCTCCCCCTCCTTTCTCCTCCTCCCTACTCTTCTTCTTCTTCTTCGACTTCTTATTCTTCCGCCTCCTCCTCCTCCTCCTCCTCCTCCTCCTCCTCCTCCTCCTCCTCCTCCAGGCTGGGCTGGCCTGTGTGCTCGGGATCATGTCGGGAGGCCCGTGTTGGGTGTTGGCAGCCCTGGCCCAAGGCGAAGAGCACCACAGACACGAATTGGATCAGTTTTTTCGGTGGGCCGCACGGGTTTCTTGGGCCCGTGCTGGACCTCCTCGCGGCGCCTCTCCCCTCCTCCTCCTCCTCCTCCTCCTCCTCCTCCTCCTCCTCTCCTCCTCCTCCTCCTCCTCCTCCTCCTCCTCCTCCTCCTCCTCCTCCTCCTCCTCCTCCTCCTCCTCTCCTTGTCCGCCTCCCAGGGGCAGCTCTAGCAGGCCCCGACGGTGTCAGACCTCGGCCCTCTGGAACGTCTGCTTTTCCGTCGTTGCCGCCGTCTGCATTCTTCCTCCTCCTCCTCCTCCTTTTCGTCCTTGTCCTCCTCCTCCTCCTCCTCCTCCTCCTCGTCCTTGTCCTCCTCCTCCTACTCTTCCCTCTCGCTCTCCTATTATTGCTCCTTCTACTCGTCCTCCTCCTGCTCTTCCTTCTCGTTATCCTCGTCGTTGTCATCATCTTCCTTACCCTTCCGACCTTTGGGCTGCTGCTGCTGCTGCTGGAGCTCCTCCTCCTCCTGCTTTGCCCATCGGGCTGCGCTCCCTCTTCCCCTTGGTCCGTAAGCGCAGAGATCAGATGAGCGAGACGTATTGATACTGATGCGTATTCCAAGTTTCCAGCTTTTACTGCTGTTCCGCGCGGCTAGTGATGACTGGCTGCGTACGAATGGCCGAGGGCGGTGAACCGCTCTGGAACTCGCAGAACGTATCCTGAGCCATTCATATCATGCCATGTTTCTTACACCAAGTGTATTATGCAATTCCGCCGACCCCCAGAAGGAAGGAGCGAGTGCGTGCGACGATTTTCGAAGTTATCTGATGGGTCACGGGCTCCGTGGATGCATTTGAGGCGCTCGTAGGATGTCTCTCTGGGGCCTCCTTCAGAAAACGGGACTGGAGGAAGAGTGAAGGGGTAGAAGAGGAGGGGCACGATTATCGAATGGCCTTCGGCCAATCCCGCCACCGTGCCTGGGTTGTGGGTGTGAAGCCTGTTGTTTGGGAACTCGTGGGGGGCCTCTTGGGGGCCTTTCGGAGGCAGTTTGGAGGCCTCTTGGGGGCTGTTTTGGGCCCTCTTGTGGCCTCTTGGGGGCCTCTTGGAGCCTCTTGGGGGCCTCGTGGGGGCCTCTTGGGGCATCCTGGGCGCCTCTAGGGGCCTTCTGGTCCTGGGGGCTTCTTGCGGCGGAAGGCTTGGATTGTCGGTTCGCCTCTCTTGGGCTCCTTTTGGGGCCGTCTTGGGGCCCTCGTGGGTGGCAGTCTTGGGCGCCTCTCGGGCTATCTTGGGGTGCTCTTGGGCAGTTGTGGGGGCCTCTTGGAGGCCTCTTGTGCCGTTTTGGGGTGGTTTGCGGGGCTTCTTGGGCCGTCTTGGAGCGTCGGAATACCGAAACGGCGAGAACGCCAACATCCTTGAAGAACGCAAGGGAAATCATTGATGTTTGTCTCCTGGGGCCCTCTTGGGGGGCCTCTTGGAGGCTTCCTGGGGCGTCTTGGAGGCCTCTTGGGCCATCTTGGGGCCATCTTGGGCTTCTGCGTTGGACCTCATGCGCATGTTTTGGATCTCGTGCGCCCTCTTGGGGATGCGGAGAGGCTCTGGAGGCCCTGAGGATACGATTTGGAGCTAGTCCCCCCATCGTCCCCCCCTCTCCAACGGCATGTTGAACCCCAGGGGGAGGGGGAAAGGGGGAGGGGGAAAGCCCAATGTCTCACACGCCTTTTCACCCGCGGCAAGCGGGGGGGCCGGCGGACTAGGAGAGCCGAGGCATCTGGAGGCCGTGCAGGATCCGAAGGCACGCCTGCGGCCCAGTGCTTGTGGAAAAGCGCGCTCGCCCTACAGTCAAAAACCCTAATAAGGACGCGCGACTTTGCTCAGGGTACCCTTGCGTCCTTGCTCTTCCTTGCTCTTGCGTCCCTGAGGTTTTCGTCGTCCGCCGCCCCAAAAATCCCAACTTCGGCTTCCAAGGGTCTTGCGTCCTTACCGCGCGTCCTTATCAGGGTTTTTGACTGTAGTTTGGATCTCGTCTGGATCCTCTCTTCCGTCCTGTTCTGTTTCGGAGGTGGATGGACCTCCTACCCTGACACGACGATTGAGGAGTCGGCCGTTTTCGGTTCGCGAGAGGGCGTCGCGGCCGTCGTTTTTGCGGGTCCAGGTCCGTCGGTTTGGGTCCCATGCCGTTGTCACTAGGGGGAGGTTTACTAAAGGGAGGTTTGTCCACCGCCGATTGTTGTGTCATGGACGCATCGCCGTTATCGCTGCGATTTTCGCCGTCTTCGTTGTGCTGGCACTGTCGGAGTTGATTCGCTGTGTGTTCTTCTCTTCAGTCGCACTTGATGTTCCCTGAATCAGAGCGTGAATTACCTACCCCGCTATCGCTTCCAGGCAAAACCATGTCATACCACGCGCCGCCTCGTCAAGCGGCCTGACCAGTACAGGCCGTGGTTTGGCATCGCTTGGTATCTCTTGGAAGCGAGGGTGGTCAAAAGCGAGGTAGATTTGTTTTGCCCCTACTGAATTCGTTCCACGTTCTCCTTAGTCTACGTCTCCTGCGTTGCTGCGTTTTTGTATCGAGATTCCGGATCATTCGTTGTGGGTGGGGTGGGCTGCAGTGTCGGAGAGAGGGTGCACCGTGGCGCTCGCAGTCCTGGCTGGGCACCGCCCACCCTCGCGGAACGAGTGCAGAGCGTCCACCTCGTCCTCATTGATGTATTCCCCGCCACCGCTCAACAAGAATTCAATCTCAATCAATCAAGGCATCCCCCCCGCCTCCCAAAAGAGCCCAAGGAGCCTCCCAAACAGGCGTCTTGTCCATGGCCCAGTTTCGCCTCAAGAATTCCCCCAAAAGCGATCGAGAGGCCTCATCCTCATCCTCCCGTCTTCCCCCTCCTCCTCTTCCTCCTCCTTTTCCTCCTCTTCCTCCTTTTCCTCCTCTTTCTCCTCCTCCTCCTTTCGCTCGCCACGAGCACACCAACATACAGCACCAGCGGTACAGAAAGGGCCAGCGCCATGAGCGAACCGATGCAATTACGCTACCGAGGACGGAACGGCGTGTCAGATCCACAGCATGGTCTCCCAGACACGCTTTCTGGAAGTCCTCTCACCTGAGCGCTTTTTCAGCCCTACTCCTGCCTCTGAGCCCTCGCAGCCCCTCTATAGGGTCCTCCCCAGAATCCGCTCCTTCCGCCAGCCCGAGGGCCCCGGCGGCGCCCCAGGGCGCTTTCTGGCCACCACTTCCGTCCCAAAACGATTCCCTTTTCACGTGCCGGGGTTCTGCTCGAGGCCAGGTCCTCACAGAGCCTCTCCAGGAGCTGTCTGGGCAGGTATGGGGGACCTCCCTGGGGTTTTCTCGGCTGACCTGGACCGTCCTTCGGACCGTTCCGGATACCTCTCCACCTCTCTTCAAGTCTCAGATTCCCACACATCCCAACAAGCAGAACAACTCGTAAAACTCTTTTAGATTTTCACGAGTCTGGCCATCTCGGGCTTCTCCTTCCGCCTCTCTTGGAGCTTCCGTGCTTCTCCGCGGGCTCTTGCGGACATCTTCGAACCTGCGGCCTTGTAGCCGTTTTGGCTCAAGTCATCACGACCGCAACATCTCTGGCAAGAAACCAGTTGTGTCATTTTGGCTCGTGTGTGCACGCGTGGTTGATGCTGAGATTATCTGCTGCTTTCTTGGGCTGTCCCTTTGCTGGACTTCTTGCAGGAGTCAACCTCCCCGGCGTGGCATTCGCTGGCAACCCTCTAGTGCAGCATGTTGGGATGGCGGATCCGCACGTACATTTCTTCGGTGGTAAGGTCTACATGTACTCCACGCAGGATCAGTGGCTGACTATCTCCAACAAGTCCTGCTGCACGGGCCCGTGGTGGATCTGGTCCTCAGAGGACCTGGTCCACTGGAGCCAGGAGTCCTCCTTCGCGGGCTTCTCCTGGGCGCCCGCGCAGTACCTGCACGACCGGCACCTGTACTGGGCCACGGACGCGGCCGAGCGCAACGGGCTCTTCTATTGGTACGTCTCTGTCGGCGGCGGCAGCATCGCCGCGCTGCGCGGAGCCACGCCGACGGGCCCCTGGGAGGACCCGCTGGGCCGGCTGCTGTTCAGCAAGGCAGACGGCCTGCGCTTACGGCCGCCCACCGGGATCCGGGACCCCGGCGTGCTGGCGGACGACGACGGCCGCTACTACATTGTCTTCGGCTCCTGCAGCGGCGAGAGGCAGCCAGACGACACGTGCTACTACGCGGCCGAGCTGCATGACGACATGCTGTCGTACGAGCCCCCCAG